GGCATTTTGGGCTGTATAAGTAGTGGCATTGCCAGCAGATCGAGGGATGTGATCGTTCCCCTCTATTCGACATTGGTGAGGCCTCATCTGGAGTACTGTGTCCAGTTTTGGGCCCCACACTACAAGAAGGATGAGGAAAAATTGGAAAGAGTCCAGCGGAGGGCAACAAAAATGATTAGGGGGCTGGAGCACATGACTTATGAGAAGAGGCTGAGGGAACTGGGATTGTTTAGTCTGCAGAAGAGAAGAATGAGGGGAGATTTGATAGCTGCTTTCAACTACCTGAAAGGGGGTTCCAAAGAGGATGGATCTAGACTGTTTGCAGTGGTACCTGATGACAGAACAAGGAGTATTGGTCTCAAGTTGCAGTGGGAGGGGTTTAGGTTGGATATTAGGAAAAACTTTTTCACTAGGAGGGTGGTGAAGCACTGGAATGAGTTACCTAGGGAGGTGGTGGAATCTCCTTCCTTAGAGGTTTTTAAGGTCCGGCTTGACAAAGCCCTGGCTGGGATGATTTAGTTGGGGATTGGTCCTGCTTTGAGCAGGGGGTTGGACTAGATGACCTCCTGAGGTCCCTTCCAAACCTGATATTCTATGATTCTATGATTCTATGATCTATATCATTTGGTAAACTGGGTGCAAGCAAACAATAAGCATTTTAATACAGCTAAATGTAAATGCATCAAGGAACAAAGAACATCGGCTGTACTTACAGAACAGGGTCTCTATTCTTGGAAGGACTGTCTCTGAAAAAGATTTGGGGGTCATGGTAAATAATCCCCTGAACATGAGCACCCAGTGTGACGCTGTGACCAAAAGAGCTAATGCAATCCTGGGATGCAGAAACAGGGGAATATTGAGTAGGAGTAGAGAGGTTATTTTACCTGGCACTGATGTTACTGCTACTGGAATCTTGTGTACAATTTTGGTGCCCACAATTCAAGAAGTATGTTAATAAATGATTAAAGGATTAGAAAACCTACCTTATAGAGATAAACTCAAAGAACTCAATCTATTTGGCTTAACAGGGAGAAGGTTAAGGGATGACTTGATTACAATCTATGGTCTGGTCTACACTGCCACTTAAGATGATGTGAGTTACGTCGCCCAGGGGGGTAAAAAAAATCACCCTCCCCCGAGCAATGTAGCTTATATTGACCTAACACAGTGTCTACACCACACTATGTCAATAAGAGACACTCTCCCACCGACTTAGTCTCTGCCTCTCGGGGAGGTGGAGTACTGAAGTTGTCAGGAGAGCACTCTGACATCAACTTATTGTGTCTTCACCAGAGCCACTAAATCGATGCTGCTGTGTAGACAAGCCCTATAAGTATCTACTTGGGAAAGAAATATTTAATAATGGGCTCTTCAGTCTAACAGAGGAAGGTATAAAACATGATCCCATGGCTGGAAGCTGAAGTGAAACATATTCAGACTGGAAATAAGGCATAATTGTTAATGGTTAGATTAATTAACCAGTGGAACAATTTACCAAGGGTCATGGTGGATTCTCCATTGCTGATAGTATTTAACACAAGATAGGATTTTTTTTTCTAAAAGATCAGCTCTAGGAATTATTTTAGGACAGTTCTATAGCTTGTGCTATCTGGGAAACAGGACTAGATTATCACAAGGGCCCCGTCTGGCCTTGGAATGTATGACTCAATATGGTTTCATTGGTGACTCAGTGGTAAAGTGCTCACTTTGGTAACAAGTGTTGTGAATTCAAGTCTTGCTGGAGCCATTTTTAATTTATTCCAGTGGAGTTTGGTCTACTGGAAACTGACTAATCTCCTCTTCTCATGTACTGTCGGCACAGCAGCCCAAGGGGTACATGTCCTGGGATTGCCATCTTTAAATCACCAAAGTGGTTTACACGCTGACTTTCCCACTGATTTTCACAAACACAAGCTCTGGTTCTAATGGGGGATTTCATCACCCTGACATCTGCTGGGAGAGCAATACAGCAGTGCACAGACAATGCAGGAAGTTTTTGGAGAGTGTAGGGGGACAACTTCCTGGTGCAACTACTGGAGGAAACAACCAGGGGCCATTCTCCTCTTGACCTGCTGCTTACAAACAGGGAAGAATTGGTAGGGGAAGTAGAAGTGGGTGGCAGTGACCATAAGATGGTTGAGTTCAAGAGCCTCACAAAAGGAAGAAAGGACAGTAGCAAAATACGGATCCTGGACTTCAGAACAGCAGACTTTGACTCCCTCAGGGAACTGATGGGCAGGATCCCCTGGGAGGCTAATATGAGAGGAAAAGGAGTCCAGGAGAGCTGGCTGTATTTTAAAGAAGCCTTACTGAGGGTGCAGGAACAAACCATCCCGATGTGCAGAAAGAACAGTAAATATGGCAGGCGACCAGCTTGGCTTAACAGTAAAATCTTCCGTGAGTTTAAACATAAAAAGGAAGCTTACAAGAAGTGGAAACTTGGACAGATGACTAGGGAGGAGTATAAACATATTGATCGAGCATGTAGGGGTGTAATCAGGAAGGCCAAAACACAACTGGAGTTGCAGCTAGCAAGGGATGTGAAGGGTAACAAGAAGGGTTTCTACAGGTATGTTAGCAACAAGAAAAAGATCAGGGAAAGTGTGGGACCCTGAATGAATGGGGGAGGCAACCTAGTGACAGAGGAAGTGGGAAAAGCTGAAGTACTCAATGCTTTTTTTGCCTTCGTCTTCACAGACAAGATCAGTTCCCACACTACTATCCTGGGCAACACAGTATGGGGAGTATAGGGTGACCAGATGTCCCGATTTTATTGGGACAGTTCTGATTTTGGGGTCTTTTTCTTATATAGGCTCCGCTTACCCCCCACCCCCTGTCCCGATTTTTCACATTTGCTGTCTGGTCACCGTAAGGGAGGAGGTGAGCAGCCCTCAGTGGTTAAAGAACAGGTTAAGAACTATTTAGAAAAGCTGGACATGCACAAGTCCATGGGTCCAGATATAATGCATCCGAGGGTGCTGAGGGAATTGGCTGATGTGATTGCACAGCCATTGGCCATTATCTTTGAAAACTCATGGCAATCGGGGGAGGCCCCGAATGACTGGAAAAAGGCAAATATAGTGCCCATCTTTAAAAAAGGGAAGAAGGAGAACCCGGGGAAATACAGACCAGTCAGCCTCACCTCAGTCCCTGGAAAAATCATGGAGCAGGTCCTCAAGGAAACCATTTTGAAGCACTTGGAGGAGAGGAAGGTGATCAGGAATAGTCAACATGGATTCACCAAGGGCAAGTCATGTCTGACCAACCTGATTGCCTTCAATGATGAGATAACTGGTTCTGTGGATATGGGGAAAGCAGTGGATGTGATATATCTTGACTTTAGCAAAGCTTTTGATACGGTCTCCCACGGTATTCTTGCCAGTATGTTAAAAAAGTATGGATTGGATGAATGGACTATAAGGTGGATAGAAAGCTGGCTAGATTGTTGGGCTCAATGGATAGTGATCAATTGCTCCATGTCTAGTTGGCAGCCGGTATCAAGTGGAGTGCCCCAGGGGTTGGTCCTCAGGTCAATTTTGTTCAATATCTTCATTAATGATCTGGATGATGGAAAGGATTGCACCCTCAGCAAGTTCGCAGATGACACTAAGCTAGGGGAAGAGGTAGATACACTGCGGGGTAGGCATAGGGTTCAGAGTGACCTAGACAAATTTGAGGATTGAGCCAAAAGAAATCTGTTGAGGTTCAACAAGGACAAGTACAGAGGCCCTCACTTAGGATGGAAGAATCCCTTGCACTGCTACAGGCTGGGGACTGACTGGCTAAGCAGCAGGTCTGCAGAAAAAGACCTGGGAATTACAGTGGATGAGAAGCTGGAATCAGCAGTGTGCCGTTGTTGCCAAGAAGGCTAACGGCATATTGGGCTGTATTAGTAGGAGCATTGCCAGTAGATCAAGGGAAATGATTATTCCCCTCTATTCGGCACTGGTGAGGCCACATCTGGAGTATTGTATCCAGTTTTGGGCCTCCCACTACAGAAAGGATGTGGACAAATTGGAGACAGCCCAGCAGAGGGCAACAAAAATGATTAGGGGGCTGTGCCACATGACTTATGAGGAGAGGCTGAGGGAACTGGGGTTATTTAGTCTGCAGAAGAGAAAGGTGAGGGGGGATTTGATAGCAGCCTTCAACTACTTGAGGGGGGATTCCAAAGAGGATGGAGCTAGGCTGTTCTCAGTGGTGGCAGATGACAGAACAAGAAGCAATGGTCTCAAGTTGCAGTGGGGGAGGTCTAGGTTGGCTATTAGGAAACACTATTTCACTAGGAGGGTGGGTTACCTAGGGAGGTAGTGGAATCTCCATCCTTAAGGTTTTTAAGGCCCGACTTGACAAAACCCTGGCAGGGATGATTTAGTTGGTGTCATGAAAGTTCATTTACGCAAACAACGTCTGTTGCAGTACCGAGACCCAGACATTTCACAAGATTGATGCCACCTTAAACCGGGACATGACAAAGTTAGCTGACTACTGTAAGACTTGGCGTCTCCAGCCAAGCATCATAAAAACAGTATCCAGTTTGTTCCATCTTCATCGCGCCAGCGCAACCTGAGAACCGAATGTTTATCTGAATGGTCAGAAGGTGAAGCATGAAGAAGAACCGGTCTATCTAGGTGTGACCTTAGACCGCACACTGAGTTACCATGCTCACCTGAAGAAGACAGCAGCTAAAATTAAGACATGCAACAATCTTAGCAAACTGGCAGGTTCGTCATGGGGTGCTCGTGCTCCAGCTCTGCGGATGTCAGCTCTTGCCACCTCGTATTTGGTGGCAGAGTACCAAGCACAATTATGGAGACGATCGTCACACACCAAACTGGTGGATACGCAATTACATGCCGCCATGAGTAACATCTCCAGCACCCTGCGTCCAACTCCAGTCCCATGGCTTCCAATTCTGACCAATATTGCTCCTCCTCATATCAGATGAGAGGTTGCCACTGGTAGGTTACTGGAGAAAACACATGCCAACTCAAGCCTGCCACTGCACAATGACCTTTTTAAACCATCAGTTGCACGTTTGCTGTCAGATCACCCATTATGGTCTCATCCGCCACACCAGGATGTTACGGCAGAAACACTCTGGCAAGAGGAATGGATATCTATTATAATCCCTAACCAGTCCCTTGTCACCGACCCCACAATTTGCCCCCCTGGTTTTGACCTGCCAGATCGCCAGTGGTCCCCGTTGAACCCGAAGCGGGCAAGGTCTCTGTGCAGCCAACCAGTATCACTGGGGCCTTCGTGACAGCCCTTTGTACAGCTGCGGCACAACACAGACAATGATACACATTGTCGATGAATGCCTGCTGACTAGGTTCAGCGGTGGCCTAGAAGAACTGCATCATGCCACAAAAGATGCTTCCACTTGGCTAGATGATTATGCACAGGCTAAATAAAATAAATTAACTGTTTTAGTGAGGACTGAAGCAAAACAGAGGTGAAACACCTCAGTTAGCTTGATGTTGTCAGTTATTACCTTTGCTTCCCCATTAAGTAGTGGACCCACACTTTCTTTCATCTTTCTCTTGCTCCTAATGTATTTAAAGAGCCTCTTCTTACTGCTTTGGACATAACTCATTCATAACTCTGTTGTTCTTTTGTACTGCTCCTTAGCAATTTGTCCAGGTTTCCACTTTTTGTAGGATTCCTTTCTGGTTTTCAGGTAATTAAAGAGCCCTTGATGGAGCCATACTGGCCTGTTACTCTTCTTTCTATCTTTGATTTGCATCAGGGTATTTGGCAGATGTGCCTTTAATATTGTCTCCTTAAGAAACTACCAGTTCTCCTGAACTCCTTTATCCCTGAGACTTATTCCCATGGGACCTCTCTGAGATTGTTAGCTTGTTTTTTGAAGTCCATCATCCTTATTCTGCTGCTCTCACTCTGTCCTTTCCTTAGAATTATGACATATATCATTGCTTGATTGCTTTCACCCATATTTCCTTCTATCTTCACATTTGCAACCAGTTCCTCCCTGATGACCAGAATCAAGTCTAAAATGCTTTGCCTCTGTTTACTTCCTCCCATTAGAAGAAGTACCAGCTGAACAGGGACCAGCATTACTTCCTAAGAGAAACTAAGACATTACCTCATTCAGAAGCTTTTAAGAATGCAAGGAAACGTGGGCCCTCATCTCCCGATCTGCATGATAAAAACATCTGGTGGCTTGGCAGCTTCATAATCATACCTTCTGGGAATGCTCATGTCAATAACAACCTCCCACAGTCTTGTGACATCTGCCAGTCTTCAGAGACTCCGACAATTGGATGGGCACACATGTAATTAGATAGAGAAATGGGTGTGTATGGGGATAGGTGACCTTTAAAATACTTTTAAGAAATCAGTACATAAAACACAGTAAAAACAAGAAAAAAATGCAAATTCATAAACAGTTGCACATCCCTAACCATAAAACGTACATTTGCAGTTGCCCACCACTGAAAATTTGATCTACATTGTGTATAAAAGACTATCTAAACTTGAAATGAAGTTTAGCATAAAACTACTATAATAATAATAATAATAATAATAATGAAAAAGAAGATCAACACCATCTCCAGTACCAAATAATTTACATTGTCTGCTCTTCAAAGTGGCCAACTTTGCTTGACCCAAGCTCAAAAGGCATGCCGTACATCTATTTGTGAACCTATATTTAACAGTAAAAATAAACACAAGATACAAAAAACCAAGGGACAATGACCAATATCGCCATACTTATGTTCTTATGAGGAGAGATTAAAAAGATGGGGACTGTTCATCTTAGAAAAGAGATGACAGAGGGGCGATATGATAGAGGTCTATAAAATCGCAAATGGTGTGGAGAACATGAATAAGTAAATGTTATTTACCCATTCACATAACAAAAGAAACTGGGAAGCTGGGAATGGGCAACAGGGTATGGATCACTTTATGATTACCTGTTCTGTTCATTCCCTCTCAGGCACTAGTACTGGCCACCGTTGGAAGACAGGGTGTTCTTAAAATGTCAGTATGGGCAACATTCTTGAACAGAGGGAAAAGACAACACAAATAAGACCAAATCACGATTTGAAATCTCAATAGTGACAATACAACTAGAAAACAAATGAGACAAAGGATGGGTAAAAACATAGTAACAATCCAAGCAGGCCATAGAGAAAGAATTGGCACTAGTACTCAACCAAGAGTACCATCATGAGTAAGGGCAAAAATGTCACCACGCATCAGTCAGATCAGAAGCGGATAGAAAAGTTGCAAGTCGCTGTGCAGACAGCAGATGCAATTCCAGATTGGGAATAATTAAAATTCCCACACCCATTCATATTCAGAGAGCAACAAACAAAATAACCCATCAGATCAGTGTTCATCATTAAAAATAAGTAAACAGACTGAGAAAAATAACAATCACCAAATTTTCTTATATCCATTAATCCTCAACATTTCCATTGGTCAAAGAGACATACACTTTGGTCATCAGTTTGTTCAATCTATACCTGTCAGTCAAACTCAGTCACAGAGACACATTTCATCAGGTACTGAGCAAGCAACCAAAGCACTGGAAGGTCAGGAAACCAATCTATCACCACTAGTCCACCTTTATCTCATGCAGAAACCTACCAGTAGTATTAGGTGTGTAGCCCCACTCAGGGAGTTCAGGACCCAAAAAATCTGTGATTTTGTCATTCCCCACACCCTCCAATTCAGACTCAGTACCAACCTCAAGGGAGAAAACCTCAGAGAGACCAGAGGGAGGTCTGCGGATCCCATAGTAACTGGCTCAGCCTCCATTTGTCAGGCAGGCTCATGGCAAGAGGCCACTGCATCAGGAGATACAGACCCAATAATGCCATCTCCCCCTAGATTATAAAGGGGGTGCTAACCCCTCAGAACTAGGCTCTGCCACAGTCACCCCATCCTAGGGTGACCAGAGGGCAAGTGTGAAAAATTGGGATGGGGGTGGGGGGTAATAGGTGCCTATATAAGAAAAAGCCCCCAAAATTGGGACTGTCCCTATAAAATCGGGACATCTGGTCGCCCTACCCCAGCCTGTGCTGTACTCTCAGAAACCCCCACATTCCCAGGACTAGCTGGCCTCTTCTTAAGGCACTGATTAACCAGATGTGTCAAGATCCCACAGCGCAAAACAGGCCATGTCCTCAGTGGCCGCAGACAAAAGGGATTCACACTCCCCAATCCTGTATGTCAGGGAGACTTTGAGAGCCTCGGAAGCATTGTTTAATATGATAAAATCCTGCCTGCAAGAGGACAGGACATGGCTAACATCCAGGGTGTTACAGCTACAGGAATCCTGCTAATAGGGCAGTGAAATTGCCCTAACAAGTCATGTCTCCGGCCAGCAGCTTCTTTGAAAAAGGAGGGACACTACCGGACAAAAACACCTCTCACTACAATCCCCCCCTCAACTGCCCATTTTTAAACCCAGTCACCTTCCCCAGAGCTAGGACACCCTACACCACACAGGTAAAGTCTGGAGGCAAAATTCGGCAACCCAGGGCCACAGGTTAAATTCTCCTGCAGGATTTGCCAGTCTCCTTGCGGACAGAGTTAAGCCTGGTTCAGTGGTTATGCTGAAAGCTGTTCCAGGCAGCGTATTGATGGGCCAAGCTATTTTTGAGCAATTAACATCTTTTTTTGATTAACGTCTATGCTCCTACTGTAGGGGAAAATCATAGAATCATAGAATCATAGAATATCAGGGTTGGAAGGGACCTCAGGAGGTCATCTAGTCCAACCCCCTGCTCAAAGCAGGACCAATCCCCAACTAAATCATCCCAGCCAGGGCTTTGTCAAGCCGGACCTTAAAAACCTCTAAGGAAGGAGATTCCACCACCTCCCTAGGTAACCCATTCCAGTGCTTCACCACCCTCCTAGTGAAAACGTTTTTTCCTAATATCCAACCTAAACCTCCCCAACTGCAACTTGAGACCATTACTCCTTGTTCTGTCATCTGCTACCACTGAGAACAGTCTAGATCCATCCTCTTTGGAACCCCCTTTCAGGTAGTTGAAAGCAGCTATCAAATCCCCCCTCATTCTTCTCTTCTGCAGACTAAACAATCCCAGTTCCCTCAGCCTCTCCTCATAAGTCATGTGCTCCAGCCCCCTAATCATTTTTGTTGCCCTCCGCTGGACTCTTTCCAATTTTTCCACATCCTTCTTGTAGTGTGGGGCCCAAAACTGGACACAGTACTTCAGATGAGGCCTCACCAATGTCGAATAGAGGGGAACGATCACATCCCTCGATCTGCTGGCAATGCCACTACTTATACAGCCCAAAATGCCGTTAGCCTTCTTGGCAACAAGGGCACACTGTTGACTCATATCCAGCTTCTCGTCCACTGTAACCCCTAGATCCTTTTCTGCAGAACTGCTTCCTAGCCATTCGGTCCCTAGTCTGTAACAGTGCATGGGATTCTTCCGTCCTAAGTGCAGGACTCTGCACTTGTCCTTGTTGAACCTCAACAGGTTTCTTTTGGCCAATTCCTCTAATTTGTCTAGGTTCCTCTGTATCCTGTCCCTACCCTCCAGCGTATCTACCACTCCTCCCAGTTTAGTGTCATCTGCACACTTGCTGAGAGTGCAGTCCACGCCATCCTCCAGATCATTAATGAAGATATTAAACAAAACCGGCCCCAGGACCGACCCCTGGGGCACTCCACTTGAAACCGGCTGCCAACTAGACATGGAGCCGTTGATCACTACCCGTTGAGCCCGACGATCTAGCCAGCTTTCTATCCACCTTATAGTCCATTCATCCAGCCCATACTTCTTTAACTTGTTGGTAAGAATACTGTGGGAGACTGTATCAAAAGCTTTGCTAAAGTCAAGGAATAACACATCCACTGCTTTCCCCTCATCCACAGAGCCAGTTATCTCCTCATAGAAGGCAATTAGGTTAGTCAGGCATGACTTGCCCTTGGTGAATCCATGCTGACTGTTCCTGATCACTTTCCTCTCCTCTAAGTGCTTCAGAATTGATTCCTTGAGGACCTGCTCCATGATTTTTCCATGTTGTGTTTCTTGCAGAGCTTGGCTTCTCTTTGGACACATTGTTGACCTTTTAATTTGTGGGGAGGGGCAACTTTAATTGTCCTCTTAATGCGAGATTGGATAGGAACCATCTGGAACCGCATCCACTGTCTTCTCAGTAACATTCAACCCTTAAAACCCAAAACTTTTTCTTTTGTGCCTCACATCATTAAATGTATCATGTTTGGGCTTGTCTGTGTTTGTGTTGCGTGTGTTTGTGTGAGTCACTTTTCTCTTCTCACGTTGTGCCTCGGGAGTATTTTGTGTAGTTGAGTCCCTTGCTTGTGTGAGTGCTGTGCATATCATGCTATGTTTTTTGTGGGTATGCTCCTGTTTTGTGGGTTTGTCTTGGGTGCATCTTGCATGTCTCCTCCTCTGCCTGGTGTGTATTTATCTTTTGTCAGTGCTTTTGTGAGGGTGTGCCTCTTGCTTTTGTCAGTCAGAGCCTTGTCTGTCTCCAGTGTTGTTTCCTCTGTGTGTTTATGTCTTGCATGTGTATCTGAGTACACACCTCCAAGTGTCTCTTTCCACATACCACCTTTCTGACCTTGCTTAGAACCAGTACGGTATCAAGTCACAAATCCCACCCAAATCCCAATGGAACCTAACCTGTTGCCTTCGAAATCTCCAGTCCTGGCTTTGGTCCCATGAAGAAATAATTTACACCAGTCCTCTCTCTCTCTCTCTCTCTCTCTCATTGTATCCTTCCCCATCTCTCTCTCCTTCTTTCACTATTAAAATTCCAACACATTTCTTCCCCTTGGAGATAGGGCAGAAACCCAACGGCATCCAATAGGAGTTTTTCTTCCTTCAGAGAATTGCTCTTATCCTGCAGGGAAAGAATAATGTAGAACTTAGGTGCTACAATGTGCAATGTTTGTCATCACATCACCCTTTGTCCTGCTATTCCAGGGCTAACACAATCACACGACTCCATTGCCGGATCAATGGTTAAAGCACTAGTTTTGGTAGTAAGTGTTGTTCAGTTCTAGATGGGGCCATTTGCAATTTGTTCTGGGGGAGTCTGATCTACCAGAAGCCGGTTAATCTCCTCTCTTCCTGAACTGTGAGCACTGAAGTCCAATGGGTACATGTGCTGGGCTTGCCACCTTCAAATCCCCCAAGAAATTTACACGCCAAGTTTTCCACTGTTTTTTATGGCATCCAAATCCTTTAGGTACCTGAAAAAATCTCATCCCTTGGTGTGTTTGGATGTGCGTCTTTCTCTCCCTCTCTTTCTGATGTGCTTTCAAAACCATGATGGCCTGATAGTCATATGAGAAGCAGCGTTCACCAGTCCATGTCTGTACGTGGAGATTGCCTGTGAGCAAAACATGCAAGGCTAGATTTAAAAAACAGCTACATAGGCTGGAGCCAGTCGGTGGCCTCTGAGTCTGCAATGTTCATCTGGAGAAGACCTCAAGGGAGCCCTGCATGAAGAAAGCAACCATTCAGCACATGTGCAGCATCCTCCACAGTACCATGGATGGACAGTGGGCTAGATGTAACTTCACAGCATCAAACTCTTATTTTTCTGTTTGATGACCAATTCATTTATATTCATCAGAATGAAATCTAGTATAGAATTATCCTGAATAAAGTTTATAATGCAGACAAGGCAGAAGTGTTCGATAAATATTTCTGTTCTGTATTTGGGGGAAAAATGTAAAGCTATACCTCAAGTAACAAAGAACACAGGTCAGACTTGCAGGATGAGGGACTCTACTCTGGGAATCAGTGACTCTGAAAAAGATTTTGGGGTCGTGGTGGAGAATCAGCTGAGTATGATGCTGTGGCCAAAAGAGCTAATGCAATCCTGAGATGCACAACCAAAGGGAATCTCCAGTAGGAGCAGAGGGGTTATTTTACCTTGGAAGTTGGTATTGGTGCGACTGCTGCTGGAATTCTGTGTCCAGTTCTGGTGCCCACAATTCAAGAAAGATGTTGACAAACTGGAGCGGGGTCAGAGAAGAGCCACGAAAATTATGGGGAACCTACATAGGGAACAAATATTTGATAAAGGGCTCTTCATTCGACCAGGCAAAGATATAAAATGATCCAATGCCTGGAAGTGGAAGCTAGACAATAAGGCACATATAAGGGAAATAAGGCAACAATTTATAACAGAGAGGGTTATAACAACTTCCTTTGGCAGCTTGTTCCAGAGCTTAACTATCCCTGTAGTTAAAAAGTTTTTCCTAATATCTAACTTGAATCTCCCTTGCTGAAGATTAAGCCCATTCCTTCTTGTCTTTGGAGACCAATTGATCCCCATCCTCTTTATAAGAGCCCTTAACATATTGGAAGACTGTATCAAGTCCCACCTCAGTCTTCGTCTCTCAAGAATAACCATGCCCAGTTTTTTTAACCTTTCCTCATAGCTCAGGTTTTCTAAACCTTTGATCATTTTTGTTGCTCTCCTCTGGACTATCTCCAATTTGTCCACTTCTTCCCTAAAGTGCGGCACCCAGAATTAGACACAGTACTTCAGCTGCAGCCTCACCAGTGGTAAGCAGAGCGGGACAATTACCTCCCGTGTTTTACATACGACACTTCTGTTAATAAACCCCAAAATGATATTAGCCTTTTTTGTAACTGCATCACATTGTTGACTCATATTTAATTTGTTGCGATCCACTATAATCCCCAGATCCTTTTCCACAGTGCCACCACCTAGCCAGTTATTCCCCTTTTGGTAGTTGTGCATTTGAATTTTCCCTCCTAAGTGTAGTACTTTGCACTTGTCTTTATTGAATTCATCTTGCTGAACAGAGAATAATATTCCAATTTGGCAAGGCCATTTTTAATTCAAATCCTGTCCTCCAAAGTGCTTGCAACCTCTCCCAACTTGGTGTCATCTGCAAATTTTATAAGCATACTCTCTACTCCATGATCCGAGTCATTAATGAAAATATAGAATAATACCGGACCCAGGACTGACCCCTGCAGGACCCACTAGATACATCCCCCCAGTTTGGCAGTGAACTATTCATAACTACTCTTTGAGTCTGGATTTTCAACCACTTTTGAATCCACCTTCTAGTAATTTCATTTCAACCACATTTCCATAGTTTGCTTATGAGAATGTCATGTAGGACTGTGTCAAAAGCCTTACTAAAATTAAGATCTATCATGTCTACTGCTCCCCCTTTATCCACTATGGCACTGACCCTGTCAAAGAAGGAAATTAGGTTGGTTTGGAATGATACTGACTTGACAAATCCACGCTGGCTATTCCTTATAAACCTATTATCCTCTAGGTGCTTAAACATTCATTTTTAATACATTTCCCCAATCTTTCCGGGTAACAAAGTGAAGCTGATTAGTCTATAATTTTCCAGGTCATCTTTGTTCTCTTTTAAAAAACAGGTAGTATGTTTGCCTTTTTGCAGTTCTCTGGGACCACACCCATCCTCCAGGAATTCTCAGAGATAATTGCCAATGGTTCCAAGATTGCTTTAGCTTGTTCCTTAAGTGCCCTGCCATGAATTCCAGCAGGGCCCTGCCAAACTGAACATATCTAAGTTATCAAAATATTTTTAGCCTGTTCTTTCCCTATATTGGCTTGCATTCCTTTCTCCTTGTTGTTAATTTGAATTGTGTTGTGCATCTGGTCACCATTAACCTTTTTAGTGGAGATTGGAGCAAAACAGGCATTAAACTTATCAGACTTCTTGATGTCATCAGTTATTAGCTCCCTTCTGACACATCTCTTCATCATTATATTATTCCTAATGTATTTCAAAAGCCACTTCTCATATCCTTTTGTGTCCCTGGCTAGGTGTGGCTCTTTTTGTGCCTTAGCATTTCTGATTCTTGCCCCTATGTGCTGGAGATACTCTTTTGTACTCCTCCTTAGCTATTTGTCCATCTTTCCAATGTTTGTAGCATTCCATTTTGATTTTCAGGTCATGGAGCCACGTTGGCCTCTGATTATTCTTTCTATCTTTCCTTCAGGTCGAGATAGTCTGCAGACATGCCTTTAATATTGTCTCCTTGAGAAACTTCAAGCAATCCTGAACTCCTTCTGCCCATGGCACCTTACCTACCAGTTCTCAGAATTTGTTAAAGGCTGCTTTTTTTAAGTCAATCATCCTTATTCTGCTACTCCTTCCTTTCCTATCATTTCGTGGCCACTTTCTCCCAAATTACCTTCCACCTTCACCTACGCAAGCTATTCCTTCCTGTTGGTCAGAATCAAGTCTACAGTGGCTGTGCCCCTGGTCGCTTCCTCTAGACAGAAGAGCTACCAGCTGAACAGGGAAGTTGTGACCCTAACTAGGCCATTAGCTATTTCAGAAGCTTGTAAGACTACAAGGAAATATGGGCCCTAGATTCCCAATCTGCATGGTAATTATACCTGGTGGCTCCATTAATCATACCTTCTGGGAATGTGATAATAACAACTTCCTACGGTCCTGTAGTAACTATCAGTCTTCAGAGACTCTCACAATGGGATGGGCACCAATGTAATCTGAGAGAGAGAGATGGATGTGGATAAACAGAGGTCAGGTTTTGTACCAGTTTAGCCATTATGCCAGAACAACCACTAGTATGGATTCAGGTACACCCATATCGTTAATTTCTCTCCATTGATGGCAATAAACTATCTCAGGATGAGCATCTTTCCACGGGTATTCACTGCTCAAAAGCTAAAAACCCAAAGCTCTTTTTTGTATGCGTCCCACCTTTTCACATATCATATTTGGGCTCGTGTGTGAATCCATCTTGTGCATTTTAAGTTTTGCCTAATGTGAGTTTGTATTCTGTGTATTTGAACCCGTGGCTTGTATGACTCTTCTGTGTCTCATGTTTATGTGCCAGGTGTGTGTGTGTGTGTGTGTGTGCACATATGTTGCCCATATGTGCCTCTTGCATGCCTCCCCTTCCTCGTGAGTCTTTGTATCTATTGTCGACGCATTTGTGTTGTGTGTGGTTATGCCTCTCTCTTGGATGTGTCAGAGCCCTATCTCTGGTGTTGTTTCATGTGTGTGTTTGAATCTTGTGTGCTTTAGTGCATTGCTCCGAGTGTCTCTTTCCTTCCTTCCTTTGCCTAGAGCCAATGGGGGAGAAGCCAAAACTCACAACCCAACTTGTTGCCTTGAAAATATCAGAAATAGTTCCTAACCCAAGAACACCTCTCAGCTGTAAATCTCTCTCTCTCTCATTGTGTCCTTCCCCATCTCCCTCTCCTTCATTCACTATTAAAATCCCAAGGGAACATTTCTGCCTCTCAGAAATAGGGCAGGCACCCAACGGCATCCAGTGGGAGTTCTTCTTCCTTCAGAGAATTGCTCTTATCCTGCAGGGAAAGAATCACGTATCACTTGGATGGCGGGATGTGAATTATATATGTCATCACCTCACCCCCACATGTAGTCATATTCCCCTGACAGCTGATGCCTATTGCTATCCCAGTGATTCACACATCAATTCTGGCAATCAGGTGTTATGAGTTCAAGTCTCACTGGGGGAGTCTGATCTACTGGTGCTGGCTAATCTTCTTCCTTCCTGAAATGACAGCACAGCAGCCCAAGGGGTTCATGTGCTCTGATTGCCACCATCAAAGGGATTTAAACACCCAGTTCCCCACTAATTATCATGGTGTCCAATTCTTTTAGTCCCTTTGCAGTGCATTGTGGGTCAGGATTTAGGGGCACCGGCAGAGCTACACAGGGTGAGGAGCTGTTGTAGTAATTGGGCCTACAAATTTACCGTAGTATTAAATTCAGCTGTGAAGAGTGAAAGTTTTACCAAATGTCCAGTCACAAATAACAATAAAGGTTGAGCGGAAAAGTTGCAAAGTGAAACTCATTAAATGAGCCCAAACAGGCCCCCGGCCATCACTCAAGGACTGTGTTTGGATCATGGCTGGTAAACGAGAGAAGTGTGGGGCTGGAAATCAAAGGACCAAAACTGGTGTGTGGGGAATAAGGCCTCACTAGTAAACCGGAAAATATGGTTCCACCCATCGCTTCCTTCTGGGATCCTTATAAACAAGCAAGTTGGGGAGAAAAACTGACGTAGGAGAGGAAGCGAATGCAACAATCACTGACAGAACACAGGGGAAGGAGTGAGCTTTACCATCATGGCTGCCTTGTGGGCCATCTCCTGGGAGCACAGGATCCAGCATGACACCCCTAGGCCTCCTTCATCCTAATTCCGAGAGACGTCCTGACCAGGCCGGGCCAGAGAGAGGGACCGAGTTGACATGGCTCCTTGACCGGCTTTGGCCCAACCCCAGCCACCACCTGTCATGGGAAACTGGGATATGTCTGCACTGAAAAGACAAAACCATGGCGCTGGGTCCCGGCTCTGAAACCTGGACAGTGGGGCAGTTCCCAGCCTCCGTCCCACACCTGAACGTCAGAGTCAATTGACCCAAGCTCTGAGACTCCATGTCACAGGTTTCTCTTTGTCCTTTAGACGTACGCTTTGTCTTCTCCCTCCCCACCATATTTTTTCTCTTTTCTTTCCCTCTCCTTTCTCCTTCTGCCTAATAAGAGTCTGGTTTAGCCGGAGAACACTGAATGTTTTGCAACACTGCGGTGAGCCAGTAACCAAAGACACAGGTAAAAACAATGCCCCGAACTGTTGGTACGAGTTTGCCAGGTCTCGGAGTGCCCTGTGTTTCCTCAGCAGTGAGGTTGCAAATGAGAATCAACACCAGAGACAGACGCTGTATTTTCTCTCCTCTTTAGTGGGTGTGTCTGGTTTTGCTTCTAGGACACAGGATTGGACTTTACCCACCACAGCTCCTGACCATCTCAACTAATTTCTCTTTTCCCCCAAAAGGACCGTTATTACCATCTGTAGCTTCTACGACACTTTGGGGCACTTCGGTTCCTTCTAAAAACCCTCACTCCAACTAAAGGGAACAAACGATGTGCGTAAAGAAAAAAAAACCCTATTTAAACACACTTGACCTGGAAAGAAATAGCTGTTTGTCCTTCTTTTCTGTATCTTTAATAGAAGGGTTGTTAACGGTTTGTTTGCCATGGGACTGAGCAGGCCGAGGGCTCTGGATGCCAAACCCTGAACCTTGTCGAACAGTTTGAAGTTGGACAGTGACATGGTCACATAAAAACTTTTGACTCTCTGGGACCAAATAGTCCATAAACTATTTCAATGGACCCCAGGACTAGAGCAGCAGGGGGCACCAGGTGGGGATTGAGGGACATTGGCAGAGCAGGCTGTGGGGAGCTTAGGGCTGGGATAGCAGGAGGGTATAAATCAGGATTGGGGAGCACCGGTAATGCTGTGAGTTCCCAGGATAGGACTGGATTAGGAAGGTGCCAGTGTGTTAGGACTTGGGGTCTATCCACACAGCAAATGAAGCTGTGTTTGCAGCATGGGTGGGCATTCCTATGCTAACTTTAGTCTAGCTGGCATGGATAACAACAGCAGTTGGGACATGTTGGACTGGACTGCAGCACAGGCTGGTGACCAGAATATGTGCCAGGGTCCCTGGTGGGCTGGCACTGGGACAGCTACCCCATGGTGAATTCCGTGCCACCCAGTATTGTTACCCTCACTAGCTAGAATAAAGCTGGCACTGTTCTGCCCACCCATGCTATAATCACACCTTTGCTTGTTGGATAGACACACCCTGAGATGTTTCGGTGGAGCCCACATCTCTGGCAGGACATGTTCTGTTTGTTCCCCAACCATGCCTGGCCTGCTGGGCCACTACTTTTAATTGCAAGATATCAGGAAATTGTCCTTACCCAATTGTTTATTGGATTTCCTCGCCCACTCCTCCCCCTCCATGTCTCGCTGGGCCTCTATATAACCTGTTCCCAGACAGGCAGGAGGATCACGGTGAGGCTCAGCTCAGCAGAGGCTGGGATCCATCGCTCCAACAGCAGTGAAGGAACAAGGACTTGGGTAAGTTGCCGGAGATTCCACCAGCCGGGAGAGAGCAGAGAACAGTGTCACATGGGGCTGCAACTGCAGGGTTTATTTCTGGGAGGCAGCATGATCCAGTGGTTATTGAAGTGGTGCTCAGAGCCAGGACTCCTGGGTTCTAGCTCCAGCTCAGTGTGGGGAGGAGAGAGAGAGAGAAAAGGGAGCAGAGGTTGATGTCAGTTGGGCTCAGAGCAGCACATCATGCAGTGGGGCAGGAATAATGGGAGGGGAGGAGTGGGGTGGGACTGGGGAGGGGCTTTGGGTCCAGCAGGTTCCATAGAGGAGGCAGAGCCCCACCCCGCGCTGTCTCCATTCATCTTCCCTTTTTGTCCACGCTGCAGGTCGATCCAGCGACAGAGACAGCCATGGCTCCAAGCGGACCCCGCCCTGCGGTCCTGCTGACCCTTGCACTGCTGGCTGCCTGTGTGGCTCTGACCCTCGGGCAGAGGTGGAACCCCCTGAACGACATGTTCCGGAAAAATAATGTGGACTACCCCAAGACCGTCGCCACCAACAACAACGCCTACTGCAACAGGATGATGTGGGACCGGGTGATGTACTGGAAATACACCAACACCTTCATCCATGCGACAGCCGAGAACATCAGCAAAGTCTGCACGACAGATGGGGTAGTCAGCGGGCCCAACCAGTACCAGAGCACGAGTCCCTTCAACATCACCACCTGCACATTTAACCCCTGGAGCATCTCTTACACCGGGATCAGCGCAGAACAAAAAATCATCATCTCCTGCTGGAGTGGTCTCCCTGTTTTATATGTGAAGAGCATATAGGGCCAGCACTAGGCGTGGAGGGCAGGCAGGAGACCCTGCTGCTTCCTCCCATCTGGCTCTGGCTCCTCCATACTGGTCACCGCACCTGGCTCCTCACCTACCTCTGAACACAGGTCAAACTGTACAGGTGTTTCCTCCCCTCACCCTCTGCTGCCCCCTAGTGACCACTATACAGTATAGCTGCCCCTTCCCCATTCCCCACTCTGCTGCCCCTAGTGCCCATTATACAGTATAGCAGCCCCTTCCCTGCTCCTACCCTCTGCTGCCCCTAGTGCCCATTATACAGTATAGCTGCCCCTCCCCATCCCCACCCTCTGCTGCCCCATGTCATCTCCCCACTGCCAAAAATAGTGGCCATCTCAACCTCTGTCCTTTAATCAAGAACTATTCACCAGTTTCACCCTGCTGGTGTTGCACATTCAGTCTAAGAACGGATAATCCTCACATTCATCATGTTAAGTGTTATATTCATCATTGTTCTTTTCATCATTTTTTAATATCTGCCCCCTACCTGCCATTCTCTGTGCTCCCTGAACTCAATAAAATCTGAAACCTGCAAAGCAATAACCGTCTTGTTGTGTTACATTGGGAATAGCAAGATTGTAAATTGCTGAACACTCCAGGAGTGTGCTGTGGTTTCCAATGAGATTCTCTGTGTTTTCAACCCCGTCTCACCCTTCTTCCCCAATCTTGGGAACAGAACCCGGGAGACCTGACATCCACCTCCAGGCCTGCTATAACTCACTAGACCCCACTTCCCATTAAGAGCTTGGTATTAAACATATGAGTCCTGAATCTTCATCTGCCCTTTTCTAACCCAGTGGAAAGCGCTCCCCTCCCAGGGTCACGATTAGAACCTGATTCCCAGCCTCCCTTGCACTAACCCATTAGACCCCACTCCTCTCCCAAAATTGGACCTGACACAACAGATACAGACCTTCATGCTTCAGGGTAGGATCCATTCACTAACTGAAGAAGGTCAGGAAGAAATTTTGCCCCTGAGAAAATTTTTCATAATTCTCATGGGGTGGGGGGAATTCCTTCCCCTAAAGCAACTGGGACAGGCTAGTGTCAGAGACTGAGCTGAAGGGACCCTGGTCTGGGCCATCCCCAAAGTCATTGCCGAAGGCTGGGTCATTCCAGCTGCCACCCCCAATCCCTCCATGAGAGGAACTGTCAAAACTGGTCTCATGTGGCATTTGAACCTGTGATCTGGGGCCCACTTGGAGCCATAGAGTTTTACATGCAGCCCCTTGGCTGGATGCCTGCAGAGTAACTCACTAACAGGATTGATGTGATGTCTCCACCTACAGCCAGTAGCCCAGTGGTCCTTAGAATCACTGTGGGATGGATAATGTTTAAGGGGTTATGTGTCTGTGTTGAAAATTACGTTCCCAAGGCAAGGAACCAGGAGGTGACATATCTTGGGCAGGTTCCTTTCAGGCAGGAAGGAACAGACACTTATCTACCTGTCTGGCCATTGTGTGCCTCACAGTAAGTTTATTTCCATTGTGAGCCAGATGCTGATTAAGAGATTGCAAAATCTACAAGGAAGGAGAGTACAGGAAAAAACAACAACCAGCAAGGAGGCAAACTGTTTGTGAGTAAGGGCAATGGATTGGTCTGATAGATCTAGGGGTGCGAACAGACACCCGGACCCTTCACCCAAGAGGCAACCAGACAGCATGACTTGTATCGTGAACAGATGATCACAGCCAAGCCCAGCCAGGAAACATTGGAAGGACTTTGGGTGAGCTTTGCTCTAAAAGTATCTAGCTGAGTAAGTCTCAGTTCTGGAAGGTGGGTGATGATGTTATTTTAAATGTCACCATTTATTTCCCAGCTCTTCTCCGCGCTGCCACTTGAACCTTTGTGCTCTGTTAACTACACTTTCACTATACACATGTCTAAGGGCTGGGGGGTTAAGCAGAGATGAAGCTAGCACTGCTTCTTTGAGAGCAATGAATTGGTGAATATTACAGGCATCTAGTTGATCAGGGGCTGGATGGTCCAGGGAGATGCTTGGGGGTTGGTGTGTGTCTAGCATTAGCCTGCAGAGGGATAGCAGGGCCTGCACAGCTTGAGAGAGGAATGCTTGTGTTTCCCATAGTGCCTGGAGTTGCAGAACTTCCACCCACTAAGAGCAGGTGGTAGCAGAGGTACTGCGTTGGATCGGGGCACACAGGGTCACATGCCCCCCCCCCCCAGATTTCTGCCAGGGTTTGTCAGCCAGGCCCCCTCCCCATGCGGCAGCTCCTAGAGCTAGCAAGCTGCGGCTGTGCGGGGAAGCAGCAGCAAACAGCTGGGAGGTGCAGGAAGGGGCTAACCTTTAAGCTGTGCCTCCCTCACTCTCAGCTGGTACCTGTTGTCTCTGGGTAGTAGCAGAGTGCCTTCCAGCCATGCTACCCTGGGGGTGCATCAGAGTGGTGTAGTTGGCAGGACTGACACCCTGTTTCCTGGATCACACTCCAGGCACTGATCTACCCGATAATATAGCGACTCAGATTCAAATGTGAGAAGATTGGAAACAGGTGCAGAAAAAAATTATGGCTTATTATTTTCCATCCATTTGTTTCAGGTTAGGGAAATAGAACACAAAAAAAGAGTGGGATGAGCAAGCCGGAGCCATATGCTAAACCCATCAGATCACAGTTGGAAAAACTGTGGACAGGGGCCATGGCTTGGAGGTTACAGGGAAAATGGTAGGGGGGATGAAATCTCTACTCGTGGAATATGATAAGTATCATGGAGACCTGATTAATCCATCCAAAGGGCCTGAAGTCAAGGGGGAGGGCATGCTTAGGAAACCAGCCTGGCACAGGTTGTTGTGGGGGAATAGCCTTGCAGTTAGAATTGGCCCAGCTGCGAGGAGCGGCACCAGGAGCCGGCAAACAGGGCTGCTAACAGGGGAGTTTAAGTGGGAGTGAGTCTCATTGGAGGAGAAGGTATCTGTACTTGCGTCTGTCTTTGTAGTGCTTGTGTGTGTAGAGGCCTGTAGGGGCAGTGTGCTGGGAGGGCTGCTGAGCCCGGAGCCCTGATTAGGGGGCGGAGCTTGGCTGATTAGGGGGCCTATAAAAGAGGCCTCCCAGCCGAGCAGCGGCACAGCTGCGAGGAGCGGCACCAGGAGCCGGCAAACAGGGCTGCTAACAGGGGAGTTTAAGTGGGAGTGTACAGGGGTAGGTGGAAGGGGAGGCAGGAGGGAGCGGAGGTCGGTGTGCGTCGTTGCCCCAGGTGCAGCAGGCAGAGACCACAGCGGCCATGAGCCAAACAGCGGAGGACGGTATGCAGATGATTGCATGCAGCAGCTGTGGTATGTACATGGTCCTCGCTGGGGAGCCTGAACAAAGGTATGTTTGCATGAAATGCCTCCTAATAGACCTGCTAGAGGAAAAGATTAGAGGGCTCCAGATGCAGGTAGATACTATGGTAGAGTTTAGAAGGGGATTCGAGCAGCTAATGGAGCAGAAGCAGGGTGTGGCAGAAGGGGAATGCTCAGGGGTACAGGTGGAAGCACAGGCTATGGTCTGTGAGGGGGGAAGGTCAGGGGCAGAGCAAGATCATTGGAAGCATGTGACTGTGAGGAGCAGGCCAAGGAAAAGGAGGGCAAGTGAGGGGGGAATAGAACTCAGGAACAGGTTTGAGTGTTTGGATAACGAGGAAGAGAGGCAGCAGGTGGTAACTGATGGTGGGAGGCAGAGGAAGAAGAGAAGAGCGGCTAGTCCAATAGAGAGAGGGCAGCAGTTGATGGAGACAGCACCTATACCAGGCCCCAGTAGGATAGAGGATGGCACTAGGGGGACTATAAGGGAAAATAGAGAGACACACGAGGTACAACTACAGGGGACAGGGGATAGATTTGTACAGAGTACTGTCACCAGGCAAAGGCAGGTTTATGTGATTGGAGACTCCTTGCTGAGGAGGTTGGACAGGCCTGTGACCAGAGCGGACCCTGAAAACAGAAGGGTGTGCTGTCTGCCAGGCGCTAAGATAAGGGATGTGGACCTGCGGTTGAAAAGGATCCTAAAAGGAGCAGGTAAGAACCCTTTGATCATCTTTCACGTAGGAACGAACGACACAGCTAGATTCTCGCTAGAGAGAATTAAGGGAGATTATGCCAGGCTGGGGAAGACGCTTAAGGAAGTGGAGGCTCAGATTATCTTTAGTGGGATTCTGCCTGTTCCAAGAGAAGGACAGCAAAGGGCTGACAGAATTATGAGGATAAATAGCTGGCTAAGGGAGTGGTGTTATAAGGAGGGCTTTGGGATGTATGGCCACTGGGACGCTTTCGGGGACAGACAGCTGTTCTCGCGGGATGGACTTCACCTGAGTAGGGAAGGGAATAGACTTCTGGGAGGGAGGCTGGCTCATCTCATCAAAAGGGCTTTAAACTAGGAACTTGGGGGAGACGGTTGGGAGATGTTCAGTTAATCTCCACGCCAGATTCCAACACTGAAAAGGAGTGTGAGGAGATAAGCACAGACATAGGTAGGGGTAGGGAATTGGACATAAGAAAGAGGGGGCGGATGGACAGCATGGGGTCCGTTCTAAATTGCATAACTAATGGGAGAAAGGAAAGACAGCATACGGTAAGATGTTTATACACCAATGCGAGAAGCCTAGGTAACAAAATGGAGGAATTGGAGCTCCTGGTCCAAGAAATGAAACCTGATATCGTAGGAATAACCGAAACGTGGTGGAACGGTAATCATGACTGGAGTACAGGTATGGAAGGGTATGTGCTGTTTAGGAATGACCGGAAAAAAGGTAAAGGTGGGGGAGTGGCATTATATGTCAATAATGAGATAAAATGTAAAGAAATAATAAGTGATGGGATGGATAAGACAGAGTCTGTATGGGCAATAATTACACTGCATAAAAGAACTACTAGAGCCTCCCCCGAGATAGTGCTTGGGGTATGCTATAGACCACCGGGATCTAGCCTGGAGGCGGACACAGAACTACTTAATGTTTTTAGGGAAGTAAAAACTGATAAGAACTGT